CGTGAAGACCAATTTGGAAACTACACGCGGGGATAAATTTTTACGATTGTAAAAAGAACGTACCACATCCCACGTAAAATGGATAGTCGATTTGAAACTGTTTGTTCACTCATTTGTCTGCGGGACATGTATCCCAGGGGTCTATTTAACAGGAAAAAAAATCGGTAAAAAAGACACCATCGCCCTCCCTAGTTTAGCACCCTTTGAAGATGGGAAGGCTCGGGGAATTCATTGATGTTTAAAGTGGGTGAAACGGTATATAGTACGGTATTGGAGTGCCCTTGGTATACATGAATGTGGACACTGGCCCAGTAAATACGTCACGCATAATTGAAAGATTATAATTTGATTGTTGCACTATTTTTTTGCTGAATTTAATGATGAAATAGGAGAATTGGATTAAAAATATTAATAAGATTGTCATTTATTGAAATAAAAAAGCATCAAGTGTTGTCCATCCATTTGTCATATTCGGCTATCAAAAATTTCATACAAAGCACCAACAAAAAAGGACAATTAAATGAAGCAAAAATAAAAGGAAACGTTTCAATATTACAGAACGAATTTGATTGGGAATCATAAATACTATCTAGCGCGGTATTGGAATATCCCTGGAATTCATGGATCCGTAAACTGGGCCAGTAAATACGTCATGCATAATTGAAAGATTGTAATTGAATTGTTGAAAATTGGATGAAAAATATTATCGAAATAAAAAAAAACATCAGACATTTTCCATCCATTCGTCATATTCGGCTTTAAAAAACATTGAATAAAAAACCCTAATGAAAAATACCGCTGAATAAACAAAAATAAAAGAAAACATTTCAAAATTATAAAACAAATTTTATTGTAAAATCATAAATACTGTCAGCATATATAAATTAAAAATGTGGATGAATAAATTAAAAAAATGGAAAAATGACTACAATGTTGGACTAGCTTAATTATCTCAATTTGGAGTATTGTAAAATCGTATCCAAAAATGACTAGATACATGACTTCTCTCATAGACCTCTCGTTTCCGCAGAAATTCGCAGTAATACCTGTTATCCACATACTCACTCTTAACTTAAGCTACAATAATATCATACAAATGAGAATGCTCTCCACATGCGACAACGTCCACACTCGTATTACCTCCCAAATGACTACCTCATATTTCGCCTACCTCCCATAAATATACTCAATCGATAATATATGATTCATATATACTTAAGAATTCTTAATTCATCTTCCTTCAAGGTAAATTTTGATTTGCGCTCATCGAGTTAATTTTATCAAGGCAATGCTAGTGTCAGGTGTGAGTTTTTCATTTTTTTTTCTCATCGGAATAAAATATTCATACCTATACTTGATGGATTGTACTGTTCCATCTTAATGGAGCTCTTCAGAATAGTTTTTATGCATCACCTACATCCCATGATAATCGTCTACACTGTTAGAAAATTATTTTTAAAATTTTCAACAAATAATTAGTAGAACATCAGTTAATTTTTAGAACATTCAATGCACGGAGAGAAAGGTTCAGTAAAAATTACGGAACGCTCGCGAAAAATTCCGTGACAGTTCCGTAAAATTTCCTACAACCACATTTCGCACCGGAATTACGGAAAAGATACGTAATTTTGTATTAAATATTTCTCTCCCTGTGAAATGAAAATTTTGAGGTCCATGCGTCAACGAAAATCATTGAAAATTTAGAAAATTCAGGCAAATTTTTTTAAGGATTCTCAATCTATTGAAAATTTATGCTTTCATTGAAATATCAGAGATCCAGTTTTTTTAGAAGCACGACTTTACTTGTCAAGAAACTCGTGGCTTGAAAACTTTCAAGAGCAAAATATCAAAATATCTAAATAAATAAATAAAAATAAATAAAATGAAATATCTTGCGCCAAGAAAAAAAATATGCGTCAAGAAATTTTGTACTTGTCTTGACGGCGAGGAGAATTTTTTGATGACAAGCAAGCGATTTCTCAAACCCAGTAAAATTGAATCAACTCATTAAATGTTTTTTAGCCTCAATACTAAAATATTTAAATGCAAAAACCAGTTAAATTGATTTGAGCACTCGTTGTCTTGATATAAACTATTCTTTCGGACAGGTATGAAATTTCTCGGCATAAGATTTTTTTCTCAGTATGAGATATTGAGAGTTTGGTAATTTTCGAGCCATAAATTTCTTGATACAAGTAAAGACGTACTTCTCAAAAGACTCTTGTCTTCTGAGAGAACGCTGTGACTGAAATTTCTGACAGTCTACGGTTCCTAATTTCGAATCCATCGAAAATTCAATTAAACGTGAATTTCAATTTTCCCACAGAGTCCGAGAGTAATTGTCATAGAAACATAAATTACGACCAAGAAATTCCACGAAGGAATTCATCTGCAGCTAAAATTTCAAAAAAAATCTACCAGTGTACCACCACTGCCGAAATGACAATAATAAAAAGGCTGATGATCCATCAACAACGTTCAATCCGCTATCACAAATACTGTGCCATATCCGCCCAACATTTAAAATAATCGTTTTCAACGGCTCGCAGTGTCAAAAAGCCCAGAAAAAACCATTAATCCTGTACAAAAGAAAATGGATTTATCGTTGCGCTTGAGCGACGCAATTAAAAACAGTTATGGCCATTTGCATCGAGGCGTCCATTTTGCATGTCATTGTGTCTTTTTTTGGATTCATATGCAGTCATAGATCTCCGAACAATGGACCAGGGGTTACGGTCACGTTTTTCCCTAAAAATTCCCCTCGCGAGAATACTCAAGGTCACGACGGCTGACCTCACACTTCAGTTGCACGGACAAAAAAAATAGGGAGGAATCATACCAGATGCAGATTCTCTCCGACACACTCCCCCTCCCCATCGTGCTTCCTGAAAAATCCATTTTCTCCATCTCTCTTTAATTCCCTGCATGTATGATCACGATGAAAAATCTTCCCTCTCTCATTTCTCGTTTCCCACTCTATGGGCTCTCCCATTCACTGTATTCTGCCATCAGTAATGGCCCTACAACTTCCTCCCCTACAGTATGTTAATGTATGCACGAGCATATACTAATTCTTTCCAATTTTTTGGAAATAAACCGTGCGCCCGAGCTAAATGATGATTCATGCCCGTACACAGTTTCCCATTACTTTGTTCTGAAGAGGGGGGAGGGGGGGCTATACCGTTGATGCAAGGGAAAGGAAATTTTTATGGCTATCTAGACAATAGAGCCCGCAACAATTCACCCTTAGGACTCGTGCCCGTCATTTTTCTCCCGATAAATTATGAAATTTAATATTTTTATGCGTTTTGCATTAATCTTTCAATGACACATGGAATATATCAAATATGAAAATAGCAAAAATACGTTGCGTGGTGGCCAGAGGGGCATTTCAACTAAAACAAAGTAAAAAAAAAAATACATGAAGACTCGCGTGACTCGATTCATCCGGGCGTAACCGATGGGTTAACAACCGAGAGAAAAAAATAACATGAAAGATATTAGTGTCGTATGAAATTCTACATCGTTCTATTCTCATGTTAATATTTCCAGTTTCAAATTGATTAACGCCGCGATATCTAGGCGATTCTGAAGGCTCCATTAGTATCGAAAAATTTTCAGTGTGAAAAATGCGGGCCTGACGTGCTCACTGTCATTCGATTCCCTCCTCGTCTAGTTTAATCCACTGAGACTGACCGGTGCATAGCCGTGCGTTTGGTTTTTGGATGTCTCGTGAGGGCGTGCGGGACCCCTGTTTTGTTGGGTTAGTCTAGGCCGGCTGCGTTTCAAACTAAATAACCGGCGAAAGAACGCGAGTGGTCATTGCGAGCACAGCTGCCCACTTTCCAATAAACTTGCCACGAAAGGTTTGCCCAAGCAATCATGCAAACGGACTCATCTGTTGGTTAAAAAAAAATTGCACGAAACTGCAGTGAACATTTTTGCTAATTTCTATGAATTTAGAAAATTACATTCACTGTTGGGAGGAAGTTGCCTAGTTCGCCCAGCCCCTTTCGATATCCCCTCGTATTTTGTTAAGCTCAGGCGAATTTTTTTCGGTTTTTACATTTTAAGGTCAGAGATGGCAAGGCACGGTGCATTATCAGTATGTGAATGTCACTTGAAAACCTAATGCTCTTTCTGAATTTGCCTCTCAATAAATACAAGAGCGCTGCCCTTGATGATTCCTTTATTCTCGTAAAACTAGAGACTGAATATTTTCTGACTAGACTTTTCTCTTTAATTACAAAATCCCCGTGATCGTAAATACTGCCTTTAAGAGATATTCAATAATTGAGATTACTTTAATTTGGTACTTGGTTTTTTTTAAAATCTTTGGTCGACATATTTTCGTCATGTCAATTTTATCTTTAACGTATTTTAAATTCTATTATAATGCATTGGCTGTGTATACGATTGTACTTTTGTTGCGGGTTATACTGTGTCCACCCTGAGTTAAGTTCATAATTTCTTCATATACTTATTTTCTGAGTTCTTTAAGTTTCTTCCTTACGATATCTAATTGCTTATACACGGTAAAAATAAGCATCTTCCTGTATCTATTGTGCGTCACAACGAGAGCAATTTCAATTGTCAACCTTCTTCCGCGCCGATGCTATCAAACTGGTTATCAATCCATCTTATGTACTCGAGAGATCTTTAATACGACTCGCATCTGGCATAGGAACTTTATTGATCACCCCAGCTCTTCCTGTTTATATAATCGGATAGTCACTAATTTATATGTACAATATAACATCGTAATTAGAATATATTCATAACAACGAAGCTTTCAAATGCAGAATCATTCAAGATCCCTCGAATTATCTTGAAATTGGGTTCACCGAGGCATCCGGAGAACAATAAAAGTTGACAATTGACCAGATTTGTATAAGCCGCAAATTGTTGCGTAATTACCCCTCGTTACTCTTAAAAAAATATTCATTTGACTAATTCATCATCATCTGGCGTGATACTCACATTGAATCCGCGAAGAATAACTACGAGATGATCGAGGCAGGACTAAGGGTAAAGGAAGCAGTCATGACACCGTTGATACGTGTACGTACCGGCAGATAAACCAGAGCTGGTGCGAATCGCCTGTCATTGCTGGAGGATTCATCGCCAAATGTAAAATTCCGCTCCTCAAGGATGAACGGTTGCATGATAGTAGCATCTGGGTTTGAGTTCATATCCTGTGGCATTGCGTAACTAGCAGGTACTTTGTGCTTATTAGCTACCTCACGAAGAGTCTTACTGAGTTCAGCAATAACACTCTCCGTCGGATCACCCTTCGCCTTGTGATTCTTCTTCACGTGTGTCTTTATTCGGTGAAGATTAGCCGTTGCAAAACCACACTCAGCGCATTTGTATGCACCCTGAGCTGTTACGTGAACAACACCGGACTCTTCTTTCTGATTTTTTGACGATTCTGTTGGTTGAATGGGTGAGTTTCCCTGGCTGTCGACGGACCGTTCGTCCTTCAGCTCCACTTCCTTCTGATCGTCGTGACGCTCCTGGGCATCGGTTCTTGAATCACTGCCCATCAGCTGTTGATATTGAGACAGTAAATTCGAGAATTGATGACGAACGACTAGATGATGGTGCAGGGACTCCGGTTGTGGAAACGTCTGAGAGCAAATCGGACACTGGAGATTGCTCTCAGTGGTTATCCCCTCCTGATTCGTCATGTGTGATCTCTCGTGAAGGAATAAAAACGGTAGAACAGGTGTTGTGAAGCTACAGTAGGAGCATCTGTAGTTCTTGTTCTGCTGCTCCTCGTTGCCTCCGAATAGTGTGGAGAGCACCTGATTCCCCAAGCCTCCGTATTCACCAGCTTTCATGTTCTGGCTGATGTCTAAGCCATTCGGGATTTTGATGTTCGGGTTCTGCTGCGCCAGTTTGCTAGAGGAACCTGTCGGCCCCGGTCTGATTCTAGGTGCATTCTGATACTGCTGCTCCAACTCACGCCATTTGTCAACCCCTGGCTTCCCATGATCACCCTGAAGATGCGCCTTCAGCCATTTGATACTCCTGAACCGTCGATTGCAGATCGGACAGACTTCGTTGAAATGCGTGAAGTATCGGTGACTGAGATCGCCCAGGTGGTCAGGCTTCAGCGCTGTGTCATCGATGTTCGGTAGTGCTTCAAAGCTCTCTTGTTTACTACTGTTCACCGGAGTTGCCTCGTCGATTATTCCGTGGGTGTTGTGTTTGTGAACTCGGAGGAAGTATTTACTGCACAACTCCTTGTTACATATATTGCAGATAACACCACCTATCTGCGAACCGTTCTCAATCTCGATGCCGTGCATCCTCTGCATGTGAGTCTTCATGAAGTACTTGTTGCAAAGTTCTTTATTACAAATTTCGCAGTAGCTGGATGTCGGGGTCAATGACGAAAGCTTCTTGTCCGGTGGTGGAGGAATCGGTGGGACTGGGGGGCCTGACGACGTTGGCGGGAGCAAGGATGACTGGGTCCCTGGAAGGACAGGATGATTTTGTAAGTTATTGGAACCAAGTGAGCTCTTCAGCATCGGTGACGACTGCTGACTGTGATCCTCCACTATGTGCTGCTTCAATGCTTCATTGCTCGAAAAGTCCTTTTCGCAAATTGAGCAGAATGACGTACTCCCAGCAGCATTGTTGGACGAACTCTCGACTAATTGGCCTGGTGACAACGGCTGTTCGTCTTGCAGATGACCCGCGTGTTCCAGAGTCATGTGAGTCTTCAGGGCTAATTTGTTTTCACACTCTCTCCCGCAAATTTCACAAGTCGCTGTTTTACTGGAATCCAAGCCATTCAACTGCAGAATCATTGTCTGCAGCTTCTGGAGGTCCTCCGAGATCGAATCCGTGCGTTCTTCCTCACCGTCTTGCTTCGTTGACTTCTCATCATCACTCACTTCATGCATTTTCGCTCGATGTATGCGGTAAAGCCCGTGCGTCTGGAACTTAATCCCACAAGATTTGCATTCATACTCTTCCGACTTATCATTGGACTCGGAACCCCCTGGATTGCTGTCTGTGACAATGAGATTGAGCGGACTCGTTTGAATCTGATGCCAGGTAGCCGCAGCTCCGGGATTACTCGGCGATTTCTCATTGTCCTGAATGACTATCCCGTGTCTCTTCATCTTGTGCGTTCGCAGGAAATACTTGTTACAATACTCTTTACAACATATTTCACAGAATGCCTCGATATTCAGCACTCCTAATCGTCGAAGTCTATCGATACTGAAACCCGACTCGCGAGCTTGCTGACTCGATTGCGGGGACAAGTGTCTCGGGGCTGGCATGAACTTTGTATCCTCCTGTTCTACCCCATACTCCTGTTTAAAGAGGGACTCCATCGCACTGGGACTACTTCTCGCGACATCTTTGTCATCGCCTCCGAGGGCTGAGTTATAGTCCCTAGCCCCTTGTGAATCCGACTGTAGATCACTCTGAGAACCCTCCATGTGGCATCTTTGCTTGTGCTTGCGGAGGGACTCGTCATTCTTGAATCGCTTCTGACAGACTTCGCAGGACATCATTTGTGTCACAGGCATTTCCATTTTTAATGGTGGTGGGGGTGGTGGTGGCGGTAGCGATTGATCAATTTTACCAATCCCCATAGAAAACGGTAAATTAGAGTAATGAATCCCATTATTGTCACTCGAGTTCTGCTGCGGCGTGTCAACGTAGATTCCATGCTTATTGGCTTTGTGCGTTTTGAGGAAGTATTTATTGCAGAACTCTTTATTACAGAGATCACAGTAGGCGTCGGGGTTGAAGATTCTTATGGGCGCTGGGCCAACTGGAAGTCGTGGAAGTTGACCAGGATCCAGTGAGAATCCCGGGAGTGGGAGGTACTGAGCGAGGGCCCCGGGAAAGGGTAGACCGGATAAATGATTGGCGACTGATGCCACGGGATTCTGTCCAGTCCAGTCTGTGACCTCCTGCTGTTGAAGCTGGGAGTGACCGGACAGCCATGAGCTGGCGAAATTCTTTATACTGAGACTAGAGAGGTTCATGGGGTTCTCGGTGTCCTCCTGAATCTGTGTTTCAAGTTTTATTCTGACGTTGCTTGGGAAGGGGGTACTAGGCCCTGATGAGGCCGGACTGTTGATGCCCTCATTATCGAATTCGGCGCTCGGATTTTCCTCTCCTGCGGGGGTGGACTGCTCCTCCGGGGTCTTAACTTTGTAATCGGTCGGATCGTCTGGTCTGTTGATACCATTCACGTCTCCCTCGTCTTCAAAGTCCTCCTCGGATTCCGGTCTTTCGTTGGGGGTTGACAGCGATGTTGGCACTCGCACAGGTGTCGTCTGCTTCCTCCGTTTCTTTGGACTACTGGAGTCGGTGTCCTCTCGCGTTCGTTTTTGACGGGTGTCGCGTTCATCTCCAACACTCGAACTCTCACTGTCCAGTTCACTCGACCCTAATACTCCCTCCTGGGCCGCTGTTGACGACATTTTAAAATTCTATTTCGGTGATATTTCTTCCGCGTCATACGCGTGGCCCACCACCGCTTTGATTCACGACGCGCTGCAAGAAGAATTGACTTGGTTATTTGTTATGAATTATTACCGAACAGATTAAATTTTCAAAAGCACTGGAGTGAGGGGAGGTACTGGGGTGCCTATTGGATTATATATTAATGAATCTTTGGACGCTTCAATCCCACTGGATTTAATAGATTATTGGAAATATTAGAAAAACTAGTGAGGGGTGAGCAAATAGAAGGAGGACTAATGCACATGGTGGCATTAATTTGGGATGTTATAATGATTTTAGGCCGAACGAAAAATCGACGCCTGTCAGGGGTGGTTAACGAGTATTCGCCACCGACATCATTTGAACGAAGAGGGAAAAACCGTGCACGGGGGGAGTGGAATAAAGAAAAAGAAAAACGAAAGTTGTCAGGACAGAGAAAAACTAGAATGTGAGACACCCTCTCCAATGGATAGGCATGCGGTCGGGGACCAGAGAGGCGGGTGAACGGGGGTGCACATGAGTCATGTGTACGCCCTCGTTTTTGGGGATAAACTCTGAAAACGCAGATGATTTTATTTCAGAATATATCGGAAATGTTTCTCCAGAAAATGGGGAATTCATATTTACGTTGGAACTGGTTGATTAAAATCAATCTATAGAATCTATGGTCTACTTTCAATCTCATTGTGGTGTTATCGCAATTGGACGTTATAATGAATGATAAATGTGATAATTAATGGGTAGAATTTTCCAAGATTGAAAAAAAATTTTTATCATATTTTTTTGCTATTATTCGTTTAAATATTTCATTCGCATGGATCTAGGTCGTAATAATTTAACAGCAGAATTGGGAATGAACTCTAGAAACGCAGAGGATTTTATTTCGGAATATATCGAGAATAGTTTTACAGAAAACGCGGTTCTAGTTTTAACTTCATTGCGGTATTATCGTAATTGGAAGTTCTAACGAAAGATAAATGTGATGATTGATAACTATAATTTTCCAGAATTGAACAAGAATTTTTATCATTATTTCTTTTTAATATTCGTTTGAAAATTCCAATTGCATGGATCTAAATCGTAATAATTTTGAGTTTGAACTGCTTGATTATGATCAATCTGTCGAGTCCACGTTCTAGTTTTAATTTCATTACGGTATTATCGCGCTCGGGACGTCTAATGAATGATAAATGCGATGATTGATGACTAGAATTTTCCGGAATCGAAATAAGAACTTTTACCATATTTTTTTCCAATCATTCGTTTGAATATTTCAACTGCATGGAACTAGATCGTAATGATTTGACAGCATAACGGAACAGAATTAAATAAAAAATATAGCACTGTCACTTCCTGGCGTGTAAGGAAGGAGATATGTGCGGGCAAGCACTCGATAGCCCCAACGACATTAAGCACCCTGCTATGTCACCGCAATTAGATGATACGTTTTACCCACGTTTCTTGTTTCAAATAAAACACACTGGAAAAACCATGGGAACATTTACCGAAGCACTTGAGAATATTGAACGGGCCTGTCACGAGTTGGCATATTCATACTTAATTCAAAACAGTTTCACCTGTACACACACTCCAATTTTTTAGAATAAAAAAATAAACCGTTGTCGCGAGGCACGATGTCGATTTTATAAAAATTATTTCACTGTTAACAATTTGAAGAGGGAATTTTTTGTTAAATGACATCTTCACTGAAGTCTTGTGATTGTCAATTATTTTGTGAAAATCAGCAGCAGTTGCAAAAATTCAGGTGAATGTATTTTTGAATTTTTAGTTTATTGAAAAATGGAGAAAATTCAGGAATTTTCATCCTCCTGCTGATGAAAAATCTAAAATTCCATTCAATTTCCTGTGAAATTTGGAATTCTATGATTTGTTTTCTTCATAAATTGAAAATTCAGATTAAAAATTCAAAGAAGTTGGGGAATTTTCTTTTTCTTGCTGCTCAAAAATGTGGAATTCAGAAAATTCCCAGTGAAATTTCAAATTTTATGATTTTCTCCCTCCTCAATCGACCTCCATCTCGCTCTCCTGATAATTTCTACTGAATTGTCTACTAAATTTCAATTTTTTTCTAATGGTGAGTGTTTTTCGCAAATTTCCGAAAAGCGGGTCCCTTTCCACAGAAAAAACGTGCGCCAAAACGTAATTTTTTGCGTCTCGCACGCGTCCTCCCCCTCTGTTTACATGGAACCTTGATCGATAGAAATATTACCGAACGGAATAATGTAAAAAGTTACTAAGAATAACTATAGAAATTAAGTCTTCTTAATATATTTCTTCCGCGAAATCCCACAAATATCATTCTTCCGGTTAAAATAAAATTTCCGGAGTTCAAACGAAATATCCATGTTGTGCCTCATCGTTTTCTCCAAATATTCGTAAAAATAATCGAATTAATCATTTTCTCAGAGAATTTCTCGTGGATATTTCATTCCCTCTCTTTAACATTCATTTCCCCACTCATTTGAATTCTCACCTGTTCTTTTTGGGATAAAAAAGTCAAAACTGAAGAAAAATGGAATTAATTCACGACATCACATCAATAAATTTTCCAGCCACAATATCCACATCACCGAAATTCATCTTCTCACCACCGAGAGTTCATAATGATCCCCCATGAAACCGAAAAAAAAATGTCACCAGCACAACGAAAATTGGATTTCACACATTGCGCGAGTTTTCGGTGGTGTCCCCACCGCCCCCTCGGAGTTGGAACGGTGCTGACGCGGAAGACGTCGTCGAAAAACTCCTGCCGGGTTCCTTTCTCTCCCGCCGGAGAAGGGCGTTATCGGCACGTGGCACGATTTCGTAGGTGGGGAAAGGGGAGGGAGATCGGTCAGTTGGCGGATGGACAGAAAAAAAAGGCCTGACAGAGAGGGGATGGCGGTGAAACTGAGGAAAGAAGTGAAGGGAGTGGAATTTTTGGGGTGCCCGGCAACGCCGATTGGCGGACAATGCCTTAAATTCCCGAAGGAATAGCCCTCACCGGCTAAGGTTTCCGGAAAATAAAAGTCCAGTATTCCTTATTTTCACGTTGAAATGAGAAATGTCAAAATTTGCAGGGGGAATTCACAGTGTGAAGGGTAATTATGGGGCGTTGAGGATAATATGTCGTGAAGGAAATGGGGTGAGATGACAAGTGGCACACGTACACCGGATCCCTTCGTCACTTCGTCTTCTTCTTTACAATCTTTACCTTCCCAGTTGCACGCGTTTTTGGGTCCTTCTCTCGGTATTCACCACCACACTGTATCCACAACCAATTCCATGTGCCCCCCTGTGCTGATCTGTCACACCGCTTTTACATCCCTACCACCGACCCAACGCCGATTTCCCCCACCCCCTTGAGCATCGAATTATTCGTTTTGTCATATTTTCCCCCGAATTTTCACCGCTCAGAATTTATGCATGCATAAGTCCCCATCTCGTATTCATTTTATGACTGCATTCATGTATTTTCGACTATTCATGTATTTTCGTTAGTGAGTCCGGGGGATCAGTCCTGTTGTGCATGGGGATGATTAATCGAAGAAATCTTTAATGAAGGTTTCGGTGGTTTAAGACGTTTAGTGAAATTATTCGTGATTTTTCTGTTCTACTCGAGGCTATATTCTGGCACTTTAGGTTCGTGAGGAATGAATTATAATGGAAGAGGGAAGCTGAATGCTTCCATTCGGTGTTATGATCTCTGAATGAGCTTTATGAGTTGCGAATTGAAACAGCTCTAGTTCTTCAATTGCACAGTATACTAATGGAGTGATTGAAGTTTTTTGGTTTCCAAAAATGAATAAATATGAATACGACGACGATTCTAATATTCGACTCATGCAAGGGGCACCGTTACCAGTTAATTCATGTCCATTTCGCATTATGTAATTTATAAAATGATAGTCATTGATTAACAATGCACGAATTTAGAAAAAACGGAGTGCCTTATGAATTAATACTGTAGAGAGCTTATTCAGATATCGTGAAAGACAATGAATAGCATTTAGCATCCCTTTTCGTTGTAATTTATAGCTTATAAATATCTCAGGTGACCGAATAAAGAAAAGTTTGGGTAATTCAATTGGCAATTGCCAATTCATAACCATTTTGCATTACATTATTCGTAAAATAATGATTATTAATTATCAAATTGAGGAAAAAAGAAGTGCATTCTTATTTAATAATTTATAGGGCTTATTTCGAGATCGTGAAAGACAATGAAGAGGATTTGACATCTCTCTTTCATGACAATTTATACCTTATAAACATCTAAGATGACCGGATATAGCCCTGAACACAATAGAAGTGTCAGTGATTCGATTGTCAATTGAAGATATTCATCGTTGTCACCCTGCGGTTTCTTCGAACGCAAAGGAAACCCCACAATTCATGTCAATTCCACATTATATTATTTATAGAATGATAGTAATCAGGGATAGTAAGTATGAGTAGGTATTTCGCGCAACCCTGAATGCAGGATTATGTGAGTATCGGGTAATATCCACAGAGGGGTTGAGGAAGGTGCGGTAGCAAACACACATGTCCCTCACTTTCTCTTTTCTTCAATTTCGAAAAACCCATATGACACAACTCGTGTTGTGTACACTGGCAGTCGTGTGCCGTTTGACAGATCTTCAATAAAAAAAATATATATGGAGACAAAAAATATACTCGTAAATATGCCCGTATGTTCGATTTCAGAATTCTGGAAAAAGGTCCGATCTTTTATTCGAAATGGGTGTACGTTTGTATAAAGGTTTTGACGCTGGGTTATGTACGCGGGTCTGGATGTTTGATTGGTCAGAATTGTGGATGGAGGGTTGTGGCGGTGGTGGGGTGTGTCACCATCACGAGAACACTATGAGAAAAATGTAGTGGGGTGACATCACAACATGAGCGAAAGGGTATGATTCGGGAAAAACATGTTGTGGCCGTTTTTGAAGCGAAAAGAAAAGGCGGCTGGTGAAAGTGG